TAATGAACATAAAATAAAATAAAAGTAACTGAAGCCGAAAAGTATGATCTAGTAAAATTTACTAAAAGAATGAAGTAGTAAATAACAAACAAACACACACACACATTCCTTGGAAAGAGAGCACGTGTGTGGCGTGAGGGCCCTAAACGCTTACACCTCCAGTACCTGCAGCCGAGCACCTCTTGCTCTAGAGTAAGAGGTGTAGGCGACCATACACACCACACACACACACACTCTCCTTGGAAAGAGAGCGCATGTGTGGCGTGCAGGCCCTAAACGCCTGCACCTCGAGTACCTGCAGCCAAACACCTCTTGCTCTAGAGTAAGAGGCGTTCAGCTGCAGGCACTAGGGGCAACGCTACATGCCACAAACACACACACACTCCGTTGGAAAAAGAACACGTGTGTGGCGTGCAGGCCCTAAACCCCTGCACCTCCAGTATCTCCAGTCGAACACCTCTTACTCTAGAGTAAGAGGAGTTCAGCTGCAAGCACTAGGGGGGGACCCTACATGCCACAAACACGCACACACTCTCCTTGGAAAGAGAGCACGTGTGTGGTGTGCAGGCCTACACCTCCAGTACCTACAGCCAAACACCTCTTGCTCTAGAGTAAGAGGAGTTCAACTGCAAGCACTGGCAGGTGTGGGCAACCCTACAAGCCACGAACACACACACACTCCCCTTGGAAAGAGAGCACGTGTGTGTAGTGTGCAGGCCCTAAGTGCCTGCACCTCCAGTACCTGCAGCCGAACACCTCTTGCTCTAGAGTAAGAGGCGTTCAGCTACAAGCACTGGCAGGTGCAGGCGACCATACACACCACACACACATTCATACACTCCTTGGAAAGAGAGCGCATGTGTGGCGTGCAGGCCCTAAGCGCCTCCACCTCCAGTAACTGCAGCCAAACACCTCTTGCTCTAGAGTAAGAGCCGTTCAGCTTCAGGCACTGGCAGGTGCAGGTGACCATACACACCACACACACATGCACACACTCGTTGGAAAGAGAACACGTGTGTGGCGTGCAGGCCCTAAACGCCTGCACCTCCAGTATCTCCAGTCGAACACCTCTTACTCTAGAGTAAGAGGCGTTCAGCTGCAGGCACTGGCAGGTGTGGGTGACCCTACAAGCCACAAACACACACACACTCTCCTTAGAAAGAACGCACGTGGGTGGCGTGCAGGCCCTAAGTGCCTGCACCTCCAGTACCTGCAGCCTAACACCTCTTGCTCTAGAGTAATAGGCGTTCAGCTGCAGGCACTGGCAGGTGTGGGCGACCCTACAAGTCACAAACACACACACACTCTCCTTGGAAAGAGAGCATATGTGTGGCGTGCAGGCCCTAAACGCCTGCACCTCGAGTACCTGCAGCCGAACACCTCTTGCTCTAGAGTAAGAGGGTTCAGCTGCAGGCACTGGCCAGTGCGGGCACCCCTACATGCCACACACACACACACTCCTTGATAAGAGTGCATGTGTGGTATGCAGGCCTTGAGCATCTGTGTGACCAGGGCATGCAACCGAGTGCCTCCTGCTCTAGAGTAAGTGGTGCTCAGCTGCAGGCACTGGCGGGTGCTTTCTGGGCCTGCACGCCATACACACACTGTCCTTGGTAAGAGAGTGTGTGTGTGGTGCGCAAGCTGTTGTTGTTGTGTGCTTTCAAGTCCTTTCAAACTTAGGTTGACCCTGAGCAAGGGCCGGGTACATGACCTTGGAGGGCCGTATTCGGCCCGCGGGCCTTAGTTTGAGTTCCCCTGCCTTAGAGTAAGAGGCATTCGGCTGCAGGCACTGGCAGGTACTTTCTGGGCCTGCACGCCATACACACACTATCCTTGGTAAGAGAGTGCATGTGTGGTGTGCAAGCTGTTGTTGTTGTGTGCTTTCAAGTCCTTTCAAACTTAGGTTGACCCTGAGCAAGGGCCGGGTACATGACCTTGGAGGGCCGTATTCGGCCAGTGGGCCTTAGTTTGAGTTCCCCTGCCTTAGAGTAAGAGGCACTCGGCTGCAGGCACTGGTAGGTGCTTTCTGGGCCTGCACGCCATACACACACTGTCCTTGGAAAGAGAGCACATGTGTGGTGTGCAGGCCCTAAACACCTGCACCTCGAGTACCTGCAGCCGAACACCTCTTGCTCTAGAGTAAGAGGGTTCAGCTGCAGGCACTGGCCAGTGCGGGCACCCCTACATGCCACACATACACACACTCCTTGGTAAGAGTGCATGTGTGGTGTGCAGGCCCTGAGCATCTGAGTGACCAGGGCATGCAACCGAATGCCTCTTGCTCTAGAGTAAGTGGTGCTCAGCTACAGGCACTGGCAGGTGCTTTCTGGGCCTGCACGCCATACACACACTGTCCTTGGTAAGAGAGTGTATGTGTGGTGCGCAAGCTGTTGTTGTTGTGTGCTTTCAAGTCATTTCAAACTTAGGTTGACCCTGAGCAAGGGCCGGGTACATGACCTTGGAGGGCCGTATTTGGCCCGCGGGCCTTAGTTTGAGTTCC